CTAATAAAATGACATTACTACAACTGTAACTAAAATAGATAACTAATACAAATCAAAGTACATTAGTTCATCAGTAATCCTAAAAAAATAACACTGAGGCAAACACACATGCTAAAATAACAAGTTACTGACACATAGTAAGAAATAGTTTATAAAAACCTGAAACAGAAGTGGAAAGAGGAGAGATAAAAAGCGATACTTATGTCCTTTGCCGGTGTCCTGCCCGGTGGAGTACACTGAAACATTACTAAATATAATATTAAAAAATATGAATTGTTTGTTAATTTGATACCTTTTCAACACTGTTTTATATATTTTGTCATGAAATAACGTGTTTTAAATTGGCACCCATCTGTCAGACGCACCAAGCAAACCCGTTGTGCTACTCTAACTGGCTCAGCCATACTTGATACAAAATCATATCTCTGAGGAGGTACTTTTAAGTAAGAAATTACTTTGCAACCGTTCAAAGTATAATATAGCCTAATAAAATAAATAAATTAAAAATATAAATGTAATACAGACATATTCATCATGTTGTCACTGTTATGTGACCATACTGACCTACAAGGGTTAGTTGCTTTGCTTCTCTGCCATTAAAATGCCTGTCTGAAAACCCATACTTGCAGTCTTTCCTCTTGAGCACTTGTGTTACATGACATATTTCCTGTATTTGGCTCAAGTGTTCGATGAAGCGTCAAAACTGTAATTGTGTGTAGAATTTCTGATTTCCTGATGGGACACAAGTACAGTGTTGTTAAAGTACTAGTTCATACAAAGCTTAATTTACACATCTAGATTTTTAATCATTTGCATTCCCTTAAAAGTCTGTTCATCAGTCCCTAATTAACAAATGACAATTGGGATAATTGTGGCAACTAAGTGATTAAGTGTGCAAATGTTTTACAAAATACACTAATCTCTGCAGCAATAAAATGTGTAGCAGTTTACAATTTACAACCAAATTATATGAAATATCTAATTCATTTAACTTACACCGGAAACACCCTCTGTTCACTATGGCATATTTGCGATGCCTCTGGGCAGTTATTTTAGGCATCCAAAACCAACTCATATCTACCAGAAAGGGGAAATCCTGACATTTCAAAAACTGCTTACCTCATTCACCTTTAAATTATATATTTCAGCTCTGAAATAATGCTATTCCTTATCCTCAAACAGAATTAAGGTCAGCATACATTGAAAATGTACCAATTCTTATTGTGACCAATTCATCTATAAATACAGCATGTTTCATTTTTTTTTCTTGTAATATTGAATGAAAATGCCATAATGGGACCTTCCAGTGAAAATGACATCTCTCTGGTGACGTATGCCAGACTTCTCCAAACATCAGCCAGAAAATTTAAATAAACGGAACGTTGGGTGTCTTGTCTCTCATATTTATTTTCATATAAAAGCAACAGAATGTAAATAACTTCCATTTTATTAGTAACAAAGCACATGAGCGTGAATGACACAATGTCTCGTAGGTGGCTGATTCATTATGAAAAGTGAGAACTGTCTTTCTTGACTGAACTTTCACTCCTTCCCTCATTGTAGCCGCCTACTCTCGTCTACTTTCACATCTCAGATGAGCATATGTGAACACGTTCATTGAAATGAATTAGATCGAAAGAACGATTCATTTATGAACCTTTGGAAAAATGGGAAAAAAGATTTAATAGGCACCGAAAAGTCAAAAATTAGGAAATGCTCACAAGAAGGATGCAACACTACAGAAATGTCCAAATTAAGGCATGATCGGACAATGAAATGCTCCTTGGGTCATAGGGTTACTTGCAAATAATTGTTGAGAAGAAAAGATGCATATTAACTGCAAATGACTTTAAGAATTAAAGGGGTCATATGATGCGATTTCAAGTTTTCCTTTCTCTTTGAAGTGTTACAAGCTGTTCGTGAATAGATAAGATCCCTAAAGTTGCAAAGACTAAAGTCTCAAACCCAAAGAGATATTCTTTATAAAAGTTAAGACTCGTCCACGCCCTCCTAAAACGCCTCGTTCAAACTCGCCCCCACATGTCTACGTCACTGTGTGGGAAGATTTGCATAACACGTCACATGCTTGAGGTATTTGGCCAATCACAACACACTGGATAGCTGGCCGATCAGAGCACACCTCGCTTTTCAGAACGATGAGATTTGTAAAAATCGACGCATTTCAGAAAGGCGGGGCATAGAGGAGAAACAATAATGTACAGTATGTGGAAAATAATGTGTTTTTTGAACCTTAAACCGCATAAACACATTTCATTACACCAAATACACAAAATAATGTTATTTTTTAGCAGCATCATATGACCCATTTAAGCCAAAGGATTAAAGTTGGTTGTTGATTGGATGGAGGCAGATCTGAATGTGATTGGCTGCATCCAAAATTGCATACTTTCCTACTATATAGTAGGCCAAAAACAGTATGTGAACAGACCAGTATGTCCAAATTCACAGTATCTACAAAGTACCTGACCTACTTCTGGTAAGATTCTGAAGTATGCATCTGATAGACAGATTAGAAGATACAGTTATTAGATTTTAATTCAAAATTGCAAGGTAAAAAAGTGAAAACGTAAATATACATCAATGAATCATTCACTATAATGTACAATTGAGAATTAATAGGGTGAATTTTCATTTCATGCCGACTTTAAGTGTACTGGAGACTGAAGTAGGCTATTCCTGGTGGTTTCACATGAAATTCATCAATAAAATTATTAAAGTCTTAAAGTTTGGCATACAAACAGTGTGTACTTTTAGTTCTGAAATTTGCAATAAAGAAAATAAACGGTGAAGTAAAGAAACAAAAATAAACAGGAGACTGAGGCCCCAAGTAGCTGTTTTGGAGTAGCTGGTTTCTAGCCGGTTAACCAGCTACCATGTCTCCAAAACCAGCTTTTGACCAGACCTAGTTTTAAAATGCATTAGTAGACTTTCGTTTTCGTTTTATCCACAAAGTCTCCAATATGGGAGGGGCATTTATGGATTGTGAGATCCACAGAATTCCGGTCCGTTATTCAGCCACTGATGCCCATTGTTGTGAGTCCAACGTCGTCTATGGTGTGTCGTGTTGTTTCATAATTTTACAGTCGAAAACATTCATATTTTATCCCGTGTTTACCTTTTAGATGTCACAGGCTTATAGCAGTCTCGTGGTTAACAGTTAAACCTGTAAATTAAGCAGAACTGGGCTTTTTCCTTTCCTTTACCTAATGCAGGGCTCGTGAGAGCTGTAGGCGTCTTCTCAAATTACGACATCCGCAAGGAACGAGCTATTGAAGTGAAAGAGCTGAGCTATGGCGTCCACCGTCCCGGTTCTTCTGCTCCTGGCTGCGGTTTTATTCACGGCGACATTCGGTAAGTGTCTAAAATACCTAAAGAAACGGCCTCTTAGCGTTCAAACTTGTTCTTGTTGACGGTTTGTCCGGGTAAACCGATGTCTGCTAAGTATACAGCTGGCTCTGCCCTGACAAACAAACGCCATGAAATGCGCTGGCACGGCAAAATCTGTTTATTTTTGCTATGTGCTAAAGCATGACTTTTCTATGTGTTATTTGTGATGTTTTTTTTTTTCAGCCTTTCTACTTACAAATTTCACACGTAATTCAGTATGCTTGTTTGTAATTATTTATTTAACGTTTTTTTCTACACCAAGTTTTTCAGTGTAGTGAATATATAGATATTGTTTGTAATCCGTTTAAGTATCCAATGCAAATTTTGCATGAGGCTATATGAAATGTTTGATCATTATGAAGTCTTAGGAAGTTTCTGTATATTTGAAAACATCTGAAATGTGATGCATTTCCCCATACCATAAGGGTCTAAAAATCAGCTCACAACAAGTGATGCATTAAGCTCACAGGAATTACTTAATAAATGTTATTATGTTGTTCCAATGCTTATTTTCTTGCGTGAAACACAAAAGAAGACGTTTGCCAGAAAGTCTGTGCTGCTCATTTACATACAAGAAAAGCAGATAGTTATTTACACTATCAAACTCTAAAAAGCCATAAAAGTACCATTAAAATAATCTAAATGACTATCTTCCAAGTCATATTCCAACTACTTGGGTTTGGGTGACCTGACATAGAATAAGATACCAAGATTTTAATTTGTGGTTGAACAACCCCTATAATATATTTTTGGCCAAAATGTCATTTATTTCTTGTCTTTTTGCTTCTGTTTAGCCGACGATGACTGCAAAAGCTACATTACCAGCACTGGTATGCTGAAGCCCTCTGATGACTGTGGGTTTTCACAATTCTGTTGTGGGACGTGTGATAACAGATACTGCTGCTCCAATCAAATTAAGAAGTTATCCGAGGATGACCAAGAAGACTGTTTTTTGTGAGCAGTTTTACTTCTCTCATGATAGAAAAACTGTATTTCCTAGTTTCATACTGACAAGAGCGCACCAGCTGCTGCTTACTCTTTCTGTGTCGCTAGCGTCTCCAAACTAGGTTTTGAAAATAATGACTTCCTAAACACAATCCCCATTTTTGTTTGACTGGACAAATAGATTGTGATGCCATTGGTTGAGTCAATGTCCCAGTGCTGCGTTGGCCGGGATGTTTTGATAGTGCCAAAGAGTATTATGTACATTTTTCAGGGAGATCCATCTGCAAATTTGAATATGATTGTGATTAGGTCATATATGAACCAATAAAGTGTTTCTAATGTGTCTTTTTCATAATCTGTTTTAAAGCAATGAGCATAAGTCTGTCGTTGTCGGCGTGACCATAGCGGGGATTGTGGTCTTCATCATTATGTTCATCATCTGCTGCGTCTGCCCCTGTTGCTGCCTCTACAAAATGTGCCGAACACCCAGACGTAAGTGTTTACAATTGCAGATTGTATCCATTCTTGTTCATGTTTTCAATTTGAGACATGATATAATTGGACGGCGGTCATATTCCATGTTTAAATGTGAAGCCAATGAAAAATATTTGACAGTTTTTCAAACTGAATCTTACAAAATCCATCACTAACATGTTAATTGCGACATTATTTCCATGTAAAATACAGAAAAAACTCTAATATTGTCTGTTATATTAGTCATGTATACTATAAAAACAAAACAAAAGTCAAAAGGACGTATTTTTAAAAAATTAAAATGAAAATGTACTTATGCAAAATGTACGGCGGTCATATTCCATGTTTAAATGTGAAGCCAATGAAAAATATTTGACAGTTTTTCAAACTGAATCTTACAAAATCCATCACTAACATGTTAATTGCGACATTATTTCCATGTAAAATACAGAAAAAACTCTAATATTGTCTGTTATATTAGTCATGTATACTATCAAAACAAAAGTCAAAAGGACGTATTTTTAAAAAATTAGAATGAAAATGTACTTATGCAAAATGTCATCATTTCTTAATTTTATTTCTTTTAATTTTGGTGTAAAATGTGACCTAGGTGTGTTTTGTATACAATAGGGCAGAAATGTTTTAAAAAAAAATTCCACAAGTTTACACTTTCTCTGACCTTGTAGCCTATGCTACAAATGCTGGAAAATGTGTCTTTCGAGAGTGGAAAAACGGAATGCTGGAGCATTCTGGGATTCCCCACCCAGTCTGACTCACTGTGTCCACAGCAACCACAAACAGGGGAGGAAGCGCACATGTGCTACAGGAAGAGGCCTACGGTGCCAACAGCCACTGTTAATTATTGTGTGTCACAAGATGCTCACATGATGGCTGGCATCTCACCTTCAGAATGTCTGTTTTAAACATTTAGTTACGTAGGGGGAAGAAGTGTTTTGGCTTCCCACTCTGGCAACTAGCAATGTACCGTATTGACCCGAATACAAGACAATGTTTTTTTTTTGGAAATACATCTGAAAAAACGCGGTCGTCTTATATTCAGGGTCTAGACTTTGACATGTCAATAATACACCCACAACAATAGGTGGCGCCAAATACGCATAAAACGAGTGTGCCATGAAATACGTAATGTAATGCGTGTTGTAAAGATCGCGAGTAAAATCAAAAGAAAAAGAAAACCTTACAGCTGCATGAGTCGTGACTGTCAGGTTAGCCTGATGGGACCAAACTCCCTTTGTGATTTTAAAACGTAAGACAGTACCCAGATTTGAAGACTACAGTAAGATTTAACTTCTACTGTTAATAAGATTTTGGTAGGCTACTATTAGATGGATAGCCTAAATGTCCTAATTCAGATGGGCTACCTGTTTTTTTTTTTTTTAATGGTATATCAAAAAGTGTATATTTTTTAAATGTGATTGTTGGTACATTTTACCAGTTTTTACCATACTTTCAAAACAAAAATTAAAATAGGAAAAATATGCAATATGAAAATAATTGAAGACAAAATGTGTTTTACTGAGAAAAAACAAGATTTGGTTTTTAAAAAGCCTTTTTCCAAAAGGTACATCTGGAAAAAGGGGGGTCGTCTTATAATCAGGGTCGTCTTATATTCGGGCCAATACGGTAGTACCCTTCTTAAAGTGACAGTGCACCTAAAATACAGAATATAAATTTTTGAGTGCACTACCTTTAAGAAGTTCTTAAAGTGTGTTCATCATATGAAAGACTCACTGTTAAATTCACTGACCTGCCAAAATTGTCAGCCTGTTTGTTTTCTTTTTAAAGCAGTGTTATTTTAGGATCATTGAGATTTTGAATTAGTTTTTATTTGTATACTTTTTTCTTCATTTTGATTTTAAAGTGTTTGTCATTTTTATTAGATTTAAAAAATATATTTATACAGTTTTTTTTTAATTCATTTTTATTTCAGTTTTAGTTATTTTAGTACATCAAGTTAAACTAAATAAAAATGAGATTTTTAAAATAAATGTTTTGAAATAAAAATAAAGTTTTTAGTTTATTTTCATAATTGGTAAGTATTTTAGTTTATTTAACATTGTAGTTAACTATAGTAACCCTGGCTGGAAATATGTTGTTGGTTGTATGTGAGGTTGCAGAACAGCATTTCTTCACCGGGTGGATTGGTTTTATTTTCAAAATGCGTTCTTGTCTTAGGACAACTTTGATTAACTTTTTTGATCCACTTCTATATATAGCCAGTTCTAATAATTAAAGCACAAATGGATGTTGAAGTCTGGCTGCCCTTATTTATTCGGTTTAAAAACAAAAAAACGTTTGTGT